CCAATTCATCAGAAACAACCATTATACCCACCTTTAGCCTATATTAACATAATTTTAAAAACCATTTTTACATCTACCGTTTTCCAATTTGGTAATAGGTTCTACCATCAAATTGATGGTACATCAATGGGTACAAGAATGGCACTGCCATATGCTAACTTGTTTATGGGTAGATTAGATGATAAAATTCGAACCCAGTTTCCAAATTCAATTTCTTTTTATAAACGTTACATTGATGACATTTTTTCCTTGCTTTATGGATCTATGGAAGAATTACATGAGGTATATAACTTCATGAATGGAATTCACCCAACTATTAAATTTATCTTAAATGAATCTGACTCTTCAATTAATATTTTGGACATGCCACTATACAATTCAGATATGGACGTATTCAAAGTACTTTACACAGAAAGCCAACAGATACAATGAGCCTTCTATCTAATCACCCATACCATCTAAAGAAAAGCATTATATACAGCCAAGCGTTACGCTTTAATAGAATTATATCAGAACAGGAAAATCTTTCCAAAGAACTGCTAGCCTTAGCACAAATCTTTGTGTTAAGAGGTTACACAGTCGAAGGTATTAACTTGCAATTTATTGAAACCTTACAATTTAATTAAAATCAACTAATTAATAAACCCCCTACGAATATAGATGCAGATTTATTATTAATAGTGACTCCTTATTGTGATATTGGTAGGGATATCAATAAGATTGTTGTGAAGCATTGACATAATATTAGAGATGACCCCTATTTAGCAGAACTATTTCCATTGATACCCACACCTACCTATTTCAATACAGCATCAATTAAAGATATTTTAATACATTCAGCCCATGATTAATGTATACAAACAAAGTTTAGACCATTTCTTTATACATTTTAGTTATTTGATGTTTGAATATATTAATAGTCTGTTTATTTTCAATACATCATTATCTTTTTGCATTAGTCATACAGCCATATTTATTTTACTGTCTTTTTATACATTTATTTACATTTAGACTATATTTGAGGCTCTGACTGTTTAACTATAAATTTCCCTAGAGCATGTTTTTAGCCAATAGTATTGCAAGTATATTTTTATTCGTTTGACGTCGCCAAGTCACTTTGTTGTTGTTAGCACAGTTATGTTTTCCATTAAGACCTTATTTTTCTTGATAGGAGTTTTGTTTTCAGTTTCATTCATTTTTCATTGATGCTGCCCAAATTTGGTAGGGGTGTGGTTGATTGGCTTTTCTGTAGTGAGGTCCGTTTTTTGCAATAATGACTTATATCTTGTAGACTACAGGCGATGATAGAGAGAGCAAGGACGCATCCCTGACAAGCGATGTTAGCCATTTTTATCAGGCTCTCCGAAACATCATTGGTGAATATATTGTGGCCCTGAGGATGGAGTTTCACCTACATTATTTCATTAGAGTCCACTACATAATTTCAATTGGATCTTACAACACCATTATTTTTATTATCTTTTTACTTTCCCTACTTGGTTTTTATATGTGTATGTATATTATATATATATATATATATATATATATATATATATATATATATATATATATATATATATATATATATATATATATATATATATATATATATATATATATATATATATATATATACATATATATATACATATATATATACATATATATATATATATATATATATATATATATATATATATATATATATATATATATATATATATATTTATATATATATAGTGTTGGCGAAAAGTATTGCAACTTTTTAAAAAAAAAACACATTAAACAAATACACAAGAGTATTATCAAAAGAAGTGTTCATATATAAATATCTAGTACTTAGAAGGCTGTCCATGGTTTTTCCACATACATTTGATACGGTTTGGCATCGACTGAACCATTTTTTGACAAAGATCCAGGGTGATTTCGGTGCACCACACCTTCTTAATGTTGTAAATGAGTTCTTCAATGCTTTTACTGTAATATTTTCTTACTATTCTTTTCATCACTGTCCAGAGATTTTTAATGGGATTCAAAACTGGACTGTTGCCTGGCCATTCCAGAACTTGAATCCCATTGTCAGTCAGCTACTTTTTAACAACTCGACTGGTATGGCATGGTGCCGAGTCTTGTTGAAACAGTTCACAACAATGCAAGCGCATGGCTAGGGGTAGTTTTGAATTTAAAATCTTTAGGTATTCAACGGAGTTTACCATCTGTTTTGCTGGTATAAAGTATAGAGATCCTTGCCTCATTTGCTGAAAAACATCCCCAAACCATAATTTGGGGTGAATGTTTAATTGTCGGCAAGGTGTAACGAATATCATCTTGAGATCCAACTGGTCTACGTACATACTGCGTGACAGATCCAAACTGCAGAAATGTAGACTCGTTGGAAAACAACGCCTTGGACCATCTTTCTGCATTCTAGAAAGATGGTCCAAGGTGTTGTTTTATATTTAATAGTCCTTATATTTATGTTGTTTTATATTTACAAGTCCTTATATTTATTACAAAACTGAACTCTTTTCTGTCGCTGCTGCTTAGATAGCAGAGGTTTTCGGGATGGAAGTCGAGCTAAATCAAACAAACACAGTCGGTCACGTATTGTTCGTGTACTTGCACGGCAACCAGTGTCTAGTTTTATTTGAAGATTTGAATAAGTTGGATTTCTGACTGCAGAGCGTCGGAGTAGAGAGTCATCACGTGTTGTTGTTACTCTGGGTTGTCCAGAACGTTTCAGTGGTAATGCTGACCCGGAACCTTTATATTTCTTAATTACTCGACTAACTGAAGACTTAGTTAAACACAATTTCTTAGAAATATCTCACTGCTTCATACCATCCTTCGAATATTGAATAATAATCGCACGTTTTCTTGGTGAAATCTCCTTTGCCAGACCCATTATAAATAAACTATACCTCTTAAAAAGCGAAAAAAAAGGAAAATTTTCTATGCTATTTCCAAGTATGGTTTTGTAAGAAAAATCTATAATGCAGCACGTTTAACTATAATGATGTCATAATTTTATGTTTACATAGTGTGCTGCTGTTTAGTTTTATCATTTTTGTATGAATATATGATATATAAACATCAAATTCATTTCGAAATTTATAAAAATGTTAAATTTAGAAAAGTTGCAATACTTTTTGCCAACACTGTATATTTATTTTATTATTTTATTAAAGTTTATTATCTTGTATCTTATATGAACATCTATAGCTTGATCAGTTAGAGCATCGACCTGGTAAGCATTGAGTTCCAGGTTCAATTCCCGCTCTGAGCATATTATTTTAAACTTTAGCATTTTAACTTGGTTTTTTATACCTTACGCTTTGTTTATGATTTTCCATTTAGAATCTGAGTTAAAAAATTTTATTACATGCGCTATGTCTAAATTTTCATTATTATATTTTTAATATACACTTTACTTCAATATCTTTGTTTTGCATCAACTACTGCTGCAATTACTATAGTCAATCAATATCCAATAGAATAGCCTCCGTTTTTGAAGACCACCTCAATTTTTCCTAGCATAGATTTGATAAATGTTTTACAGTAATCTGATGAAATTTCATTAATCTTAACTTATTTGAAGTTGTTTTTAAGTTAAGTTTAACTTATCGTATGGTGGTCTGCAACCTTCTTTTTCATAAGTTGCTAACAGTTTCTTATTATGTTTAATTTAGATGAGTTTGACAATCAGCAAGAAGCTCAATATCATTGCCTGCAAACCACATCTTTACCAAACGCACTGTGTGATATGGAGTTGAGTTCTGCTGGAACACGGTTGTATCACTGATGTTCATGCAGATCTAAACCTTACTCTCTAGAACCTTTTATATACTCTGATGCATTGACTTTGACTCCCTTGTCAAATACTTTCAGTCCATATCATATATTTGCAATTATTGCATCCAAAGTCATTACAGATGGAAGCTGTTTGACTATTTTGATGGTGTTTTTTGTTTTATACATGAGGTCTTACATATTTGTAAGACCTCATGTATAAGATGAGGTCATACAGCGATGAGAGTACATTTCAACCACAAACCTGTTGAAAAGTACTCTCATCGCTGAACATCAATCAATCCTATCATTGCCTGCTGGTTTATCATTGTGACTCATACGATTGTTGTACGAGCCTAAAGTCATCAAGATTTTTTTACCCATTGTCTTGCTACCAATTTAAATTTGTTTGATAAACATATTCTAACAATTCTTGACCTGATGTCAAACTCACTTTTTCATGCTTCATGTGATATTTAAGCATACATTGTTTATACTTTTTGCAATATTTGATAATGCATGTGAACTGCAAACAACACATAAATTTTTCAGCATTCAGCAAGCCTTTGGCTTAGATAGATAGACTTCCTGATGAACCTACTGATGGTGAAACAATTTGTAGAAGAAAAAAATTAGATAAGTATTTTTACTAATTAATTATTATTCTGTTCTTTAAGAACAATGAGCACTCTATTTTCAGAATACACTAACATAATTTATATATATATATATATATATATATATATATATATATATATATATATATATATATATATATATATATATATATATATATATATATATATATATATATATATATATATATATATATATATATATATACATATATACATGTATACACACATATAAATATATAAAGGGGCTATTCTAGACCGTTTTCGACAGCGATGACAGTATTTATGCGCTGATTTGGGTGTCGCCCAAATTCAAAATTGAGGAGCTTTTATTTTTTTAATGACAAATATGGCTTTTTTTGCGAAAAACACCTTAATTCAGCAATGGTCAGGGAGTGGGGTACTGTCCCCTAAATTTTTTTCCTACAATAGCCTCTGATATATATATATATATATATATATATATATATATATATATATATATATATATATATATATATATATATATATATATATATATATATATATATATATATATATATATAAATGTTATAAAATTTTATTTTCTAAAATAACCTTCATCCATAAAAATGATTCCACTTGCAGATTCTTTAGCTCCTTCTATAATCTTGGGAAGATTGTTACAGGTTTTCTCTCTATCAAACCTTCCTTTTTTGACATTTGTTTCGAATTCTGAATCAAAATTTCTGCCTGAACTATATCGACAACAATAGTATGTACATTTGACAATTGTATCATTTAGTAACATTTTATCCACAATAGCACGTCCGCAACCAATAAACCTTGTTGATGCCCATAACACCTTAAAAATAATCAAATGAAGTTTCAGTAAGAAATTAAAATTAGAAAACTTTAAAAATTAAATATAAATAATAGAATTTATGAAAGGAATCAGAATCAGAATTTTTAAATATATTATTCAGAACCTTTTTTTAAATTTTCTTTATTGAAGTCAACTGTGAATGGTCAAATTATTTTACTTAATTAATTTTAATAAATAGCAAACACATACAAATATGTAAAAGTAACATAAAAGTTTCAAAATTCTGAACTTTTTTGACATTAAATGTAGAATTGTTTCGCTTGTTTGAAGTAAATGTTAAAGGAAAACTAAAATTTAACTGAAAATGTAAAATGATGGTAGTGAGTTAAAACTAACTTAGTTAAAAGTAGTATTTTTTATTTAAGTGCTTTTCTGTATTTTCTCTACTTACAAAAGTTACATAGTTTTTCAAAACTAATAAAACTAAACTATTCACAGTAAGTTCATTATGTGTTGCACACACAAAACAAATTTTTTTCCAAAGATTTGATTAGTTGTTTTGTTTACAATTTCTATTATTGAAAATATATAGCTTGAAAAATATTTGATAATATTAAAGTTGATCAGTGATATCTGAATACAAATCAATTGAAATAACAAATGATAAGCCTGTAAAAAATCAAATTTCAATGTAAATGCATTCAAAAGTAAAATATTACTAATCTTAAAAGAAATATGAAAATGAAAAAATAATCAACTAAAACTTTGAATTACTCAATGTAAACAGAACAGTATTAGTCATGCATTACATTGACATAAATGGTGTGGTGGTAGTGTTTTTTAAAAGACAGAAAAAGAAATGAGAAATAATTTTAAACAGATTCAGATAGTTCAGATAATGATGATGATGATGATTACTTGTTGTTGTTTTTTTATAATTACTATTAATTTAAAACCTGACTAAAATGAAGAACATCTTTGGAATTTGTCTCTGTAATTGGGAAATCAACTGAAGAATTGCAAATCTCGCTATACCTAAACAAAATTTATAGACGAATTAAAAAATTGCAGTATTAAAATAAATAAATAAGTGATTATATGTAAAATTATAAAAAAACTTTAACAATAATCAGGCAAATTAAATTAACACGCCATTTTATTTTTATTTTGCCCAACAGTAAGATAAGGAATGTTAAACAATAAGATAGGTTGGTTTATTAGTACTGTCATCCAGGGCTACTTGGATCCAAATTTGAGACATGTTTGATGTTTGGTTATCTCCCATATCTATGTTAATGTAAATGCTAATTTATAGGCTTAGGTATTAGTAATGATGAATGTAGAGAAAAAAATATTTGGGGGTACATAGAAAAATACATAGGGCCCACTTTTTTTGGGGAGTTAAGGATTGGTATAGACCTTTTGTGGTGCTACTTGAACCCATAGTGTTGAAAGTATGTTTCTGCAGTTTTTATTTTTAAAACGCTACACAAAGAAAAAAAAAATAATACAAATGCATTTTTAAAAATACCTCTGCTATTAACAAAACAATTTAAATAAATTAATACTCCAAATAATGTTAAAGTATAATAAGATGTGTAAAAATAATAAAAATGTGTAAAAAAATTATAAAAAAAATAAGATGTGGTATTTTGTTGTTGCAGTATACTTAATACTAGAAATACTAGTACACTAATTGTCAAGCAACTTTAAAAAGATCTCTGTTCTTAAATGGTACTGGGACATTGATATTCCGTTTTATTTTATTTATATTGAAAAAAAGAATTTTTGTTTTTTTTTTGGCAAATTCCAGCAATTTTTTGATGGCTCCATAGTAGCAACTATGGTACCAAAAAGTTCTTCCATAACACTTAAAATGCAACCATATAACTTTTCATCATATTCTACTAGCACATACTCATCAATGTTGAGTTTTACCTTTTCTGTGTTGTCCAGATCTGAACTTTCTCTTATGTTGTTATTGTCAGATACATTTTCATCGCTACTTCTCTTAATAGCATCATCTACAACCCAATCGAATTGTTCATTTTCACTATCTGAACTGTCATTATTTTTTTATGTAGTTAGATTTTCAGCAATTTTTTCACTTTTTCCTTTTCGAGTAGCACTGGTTGTTCCTGTAGTTATTCTTTGCGTTTCTATTTGAATGTCATCTTTTGACCTTATACTTTTTCCTGCAGGAACATTCAACTTTCTTTTCACATGCTTCATAGTTGAAATATTTGCACTTCTTGATCTTGTCAAAAAGTTAAGAAATGATTGATTGAAATTCTCATTTGATCTCTTTGGTGAAACAATTTGTGGAAAAGTTTTTATCAATTGCATGGATATATCTCTGTCTTTCTAAAACCAGACATTATATTTTCTGCATAATTTGTTTGAATCAACTTATGAAAGCAAATTAATAGAGTAGGGAAAGTGTCTTTGTTAAGTGTGATTGCACATTTTCCAGGATCTGCTTTCCATTCTGAAAATATCTTTCTCCACAACATCTTACTTGGCCTAAAAAAGTTCACATCCAGTGGTTGGGTAAGATGTGTTGAATTTGGTGGTAATCTGATAAAGTAAAGATTGTCTTTACAAAGTTTTAAATTATTGAATGTGACTACTGAAATTACCGCTTAAGACAATTTTTCACTCAGATTGGTTTTTTAGACTTCGCAGTAGGAAACTAACATAGCAATTTTCAAATAAATTATTCTAGAAGCACCCACTTTTGGAGCAATTATACCTTGTGCCAGGTGGGCTACTCAACCTTGTAGACTACATAAAGATCCAGCAATTCTCTAGCTGCATTACCACAGTCCATAAGCAAAACTGCCAATTTGGAACTATTGATAATTTATTTTGAAAATTTTACTCCTTTATTCAGGATACATTTTTTTCCTAGGGTCATCTATTAAATTCATCAAAATTCTAAATGTTTTCTGGTGGAACATTTTCTGTTTCATTATCTAGATTATCAAAATATTCTGTGACTGTTTGTTGTACAATAACTACAATAATTTATCCAAGAGATTTGTTGGAAACAAATCTCTTGGATAGCTGATGATGTCTTTTAATAAAGGCTTTTACCCATTTGACTCCTGGGAAATTTTCATTGAACATCACCTCCCAATTGAACTAGATTAGAATTCACAAAAATTTGATGATTAAATGAGGTCAATGGCTAGCCAGAAGATTAAACCTTATTCAAATGATCTTATTCACAGAATAACTGTTTATCTTTAGACATGAAGATAACTGAATGCCCTGCAAGTTTCTTTGTGTTAGTAAGGTGCCATCTTCATCATCGAAGAGCTCTCCTAATGCTGGAACAGTTGATTCTAAATTGTTCTTCAGGAAATCTTTGACTCATAGCTCCACACTCAATATTATTACAGGCTTGCTCAAAGTTTTGATCTGTAAGCTCTAGATCCCAATTTTTGTTTATATTTGCAAACCATTTTGGTAGAACCAGTTATGATAGCACTTATTCAGTTGTCGCCTTTTCAAAGACCCTTCTCTGTGTACCTACGAATTATTTTATAAAAAACCAACTAAAAATTACCCCCTCTTTTACTAACGCATAAATTTTTTTTAAACATTAAAAACAAAAAAGTTGTAGTTAATTTGACATATACTTAAAATGGTATATAACAATAGTTTTAATCAATCATTAACATTATTTACATTTTATAAGCATAAGATATTAAAAACAGATATTAAAAACATTATTAATACAACAGATATATCAACTCCTTTTAAATATATTACTACACTTGAGGTTTAATGTTTATGGAAAGAAATGTTATCAAATAATTTTTATTTTTTTTGTTATGTCTGAGCAGACAAAAGTTTTACACAAAATCATTATTGTAATTTAATTATTCACAAAACTAACACAAAAAAAAAATGTTGTAAATTTATAAGAGTTTTAACAATTTTTTATTTAACAATCTTACTTTCAATTTAATTAAAAAAATTTAAAGTAAAAAAAAGTCTAATGTTTTTATATTTGTAAATATTTGGATGTTTATACATTTTTTCTCAGTGCTAATTTTTATTTTTGTTAGTTTTAATGAAAAGTAATTAATTTCAAGTTAAATAAAAGTAATATTAACATAACTTTTTCCACAATTAAAAAACATCAAATTTATCTAAAGATATATATTATATATCTTTTTCCACAATAACAATATCTTTTACTTTGATAATAAAATTACCAGTCAGAAATGGATTCTTCTACAGGGGCAATTTCTTTTTGCAAACAGTTGTAGGCTAAATTTTCCCCAATGTCTCCAAGATTTAATGAATGTTGTAAATTTCCTTGCATTGCATTATATTGAGCTTGTTTTTCTGCTTCAGCTGCAAGCTCTGTATTCCATGTTAAAGCAGGTGTTTGGTGCACTTCAACACGTAACTTATTGTGCACTCGTAATGCTACTTGTTGCCATATATCTGGAACTTTAATTATAAAAAAAATATTAAAAGTTAAAGTAAGATAAGATACAAAAAAACTTGAAATGTAATCAGCATCACTACCAAAATAAGAAGGAGCTTAAAGACTAACTCTCAAACTGGGTTTGACTTTCAAACCGGGTCTAATCACAAAGTTTTGCAAAAATTTAAAATGCCAAACAAAAATAAGTACAAATAAATATTTCTTAAATTTATTCAAAACTAACTTAGAAAGATATGAAAAACTAAATAAAACATTTTATAATAAAAACATTGGTTCAGATCTTTGTTATTTTCTAGACTTTGAAACTTTGAAACGAAAGAAAACCTCCTTAAAAAACCAAAAGCAAAAGTCAACCAGGCTTCAGCATTACCACAATAAAGAGTAAGAAAAACAATAACTCATTTGATTAGTAAAAATTTGAAAAGAAAATTTATAAAATAAATAAAGACTATAATCCAATAATAAACAATCAAAAATAAATAAAGACTATAATCCTCTTGATAATAAAATATGAAAAGCTATATAGTTTATATTATCTTTTTATATAATAATTTAAACAATATTTTAAATATACTTTTTCATAAAATTATTCATATTTTTATAAAGCTAAGACTAATTAGAAAGCTTTATAAAGCTTTCTAATTAATCTTTGCTGCTTTAAAAGCAATCTCTTATTGTATTTACTAAAATTTCGATTTGTGTTACTTTTTATTTAATATATTTTATATATGTTTAACTATTTAATAGTGATTACATCAACAATTACCAAGTATTTTTTTACAAATACTGGTAAACTTGCAGAAAGACCAACTTAAACTAAAATCTACTGCATAGAACTTATGCTAAAAAATTAATAACTATGCATACAGCCTGCAACAGCTGCTAAGCAGTTATTTGTAAAAGTAAATTAATCTAATACTATAATGTAATATATGTTTATATAATTTTAATTTATTTTTAGTTAAATAATGTTTATTTATGAGGTCAGCATTTAAATGGAAAATACTTAAATGGAAATTTACTCTAATTAATAAGCTTCTGATAAACATTTTTTTTATTAACATATTTTCTACTTTTTTATACATTATCTATAAAAATACATTATTAAATTTTAAGTTAAAAAGTAATAAAAAACAAAATTACTTATTGGTTAAAAATGAGGTTAATAAAAATCACTTACAGATATCAGTATCTTTCTTGATTGGATTTTTAAACAGTGGCATTTGACGAACAGAATTTGGTTCCACTTGGTAAGGTGGTACCGGTTGCGGGTAAAAAGAACTCAAAACCTCTGGAGTTTGTGTATAAGATAAACTTTGGTAAGGATAGCTAAATGGTACTGTTGGAGCCATAACTTCTGAAAATGAAGGATATGACACAATTGGAGGTTGACCATATGGAATGATAGGAAGAGACCTGGAAAATGGATTCGAAGTAACTGGTCGTACATTTGAAGTAAGCTGGCTAGTCAAACTAGAAGGTGATATTACTTTAGTCATTCCAGTATAAGGATCAATGTAAAATTTAGCTGGAACTTTATAGTAAAGTGATCTACGTTCTGGATTACGAGTAATAAACTTTTTACTATTAACATGTTGATAATGTTTACCTAGAAAACATTATCAACAAAAAAATTTACATAGAGAAACTGCTTTCATCAATGATCTAAGTAAAGTTGAATATTTTCTTTATTTAAAACAAAATCAATACTTACCCAATGTAGACCTTTTCTTTCTTAAATTTGCTTCTTGAAAGGTTTTGTTGCAATATTCTGCTGTGTTATTTGCTGGACTAACATTTTCAAAGAAATGAATATATCTACCTTTTGAATAAAGGTTTGGAATGGCCTCTTCAATATTTCCTAAAATATTAAAACTTTTATTATTATTTGTATCTTTTATTATTATTTGTATCTTTTTTTACTAAACAAAATTGTTGTTTACATATAGCTTGTTTCCGTATAATAATAAAAATATTTTCATGGTTTTTTATCTACTATATTAAATCTATAATAATAATACTTAACTAAATATAATTATTTTATATAAACAATTTAGTTTGTTAAACATGGCGCTATACTAAATTGCCTTCCAATCCTGATAAAGTAATAACAGGCATTTTGTGTCTATTATAACCACATAAGCTTTCAGCTTTTTAGCAAACATGTTAATTTAATACTAACACCAATGTTGCTGGAATTCTTAAAATAAAAAAGTTAGCTTAACTTAAACTAACATGTTTGCGAAAAAAGCATATGCGATTAATTTACTACAGTAATTATAGTTAGAAATTATGTTTAGATATTATAACGAATATAAATGATATTAAGGATACAAAAAAACTTAAAATGTAATCAGCATCACAACATATAAAAGAGCTTAAAGGCTGACTCTCAAACCAGGTTTGACTTAAATATATAAACATTTATGTGGTTTAATAGACATCATTCTGTAGTACGACATCTCAAAAATGATAAAGTAGTTCATGTATCACTTCTTTATTTTATTATTTAGGTATACATTTGTTTGATATTGTAAATATATTTCTGGCTGTCAAGATACTTTTTTTTTTTTCATTATTTTAATTTACTTTTTTTATAGGTCTAGACCAGATTGAGAATTCCATACTGTAATGATTGTTTTACCTAAGAAAAATCTCTGTCTGTAATTTTTGCAATATTAATGTGGAATAAAATTTTTTTTGAATAACATCTCATTGAATAGTGAGTAGAAGTGAATGTAAGAAAATCAGAAAAAGGTAATTCGCAAAAGTTGTGTATAATTTTGTAGGCCATCAAATTGACCTTTTAATTTATTCTATAAGATTTGAGGGAAGTTTAAGATAATAAATCTTGAAGCATAATTTTGATATGAAATAAGTTGACAATTTTTTGACCACTCTGAAATTCTTATTTTAAAATGGTCAAATAATTATTAAAGTATTGACAAGATGAATTTTATTTCCATATTTTCTCACATACAACTTGCTGTCATTGGCAAACAGTTAGATACCACAATTACCTTCGATGCAGGAAACTACATTATTTAAATTAACTAATTAAAATTTTGAGAATTTAGACAGTTAAAGTATTTTAATTTTTACAAGAATATTGTTTGAATATAATTTTTAAGACCTGCACATTGAGATTAATTTGTTAAGAAGTTTGTGTTTCCGTTTAACAATTCATACTTATACATTAACAGTACAACGTGCAAAAAAATATATATAAATGATATCAACTATATTTTTGTTATTACCAGTTATAATCACTTGTTATCAATAAACTATTACTTTCTATCAAATTGTAAAACAAATCTTAATCAAAACCAAAGAAGCTAAAGTTTCTAAATACCTTCAAATAAATTTTATCCATATTTCTTTATTAAGCTCAGGTGAGTTCAAAAAGATACAGATGCAAATGCAGTTTTGAGACAAGGTTTTAAATTGGCTGTATTTTTTTAAACAAACTTACATTAAACTACCTAAAAAAAGAATAAAAACTAGGTAATGGTCACTCTAAGCTTATATTTAAATATATAAAAAGTTATATATACCTTAAGTTACATTTAGTTACATCATATTTAAAATCTAAATTGGTATAAAGTGTTTTCTTTTAATTTTATTAAACTTGGAAATATTTGCCATATAAAATTCAACTAAAATAATAGGCCTACATTTCTAAATATGTTCAATTTTATACATAACAACAGTGAGTTTTATATCACATTTTGTCCTTGCAATAAATGGTAGAAATTTACAAGAAAGAAAAAAGGCAGTTTTGAAAAATTTTTTAAGAATAAATATATACATGAATTCGCGGAAAATTTATGCGTCGTCCACATTATTTTCCGGAAACATTTAATTTCCGGAGTTTTCTGCAGAAAAAAGGAACAAAACAAATACATGACTCCTTTTGGACACAGCCAGAGGACGATGGTACGAATTCATCGCGTTATAGGAGAGTTGACTGTATTTCGTCTGACTTTTTGTTCCCGTGAACTTTGGGAAATCAGACGAGAAAACTTTGGTTTTTGTGCTAATGCATTTTACTATCTACCGGACCAAACATGTTCCCGCTGCGATTTAAATTTGTTTTAAATTAGGTTTTTACAGTTGCATTATAATAAAAAGAATGATGTTTTAGAGTAGGAAATAAATTAAATTTCTTTTTATTCATACATTTTCATTTAACTTTTTACATAAGCAGCCAGTGGACGAAATATCGTCCACTGGCAAATTTTATATGGCCATAATTTTTCTCATAGTATAGTTTCATATTTTTGAACGCTAAAATATTTTACTATGAAATTTAAAAATTTATCGACGAATATAAGTCTAGCTGAAAATAATTCAAAAAAGATTTCATAATAATATACTTTTGTATTTCAAAAACGTAATGATTAGAAATGATGTACGAGTACATTACATCGTCTTTAAACACTGCAAGATAAGTCATATTTTATGTATTACGACCATATTTTAATATTGTTATTGACATCAACTAATTCTACTAAAAGTCGACTAATCAAAAGTCGAAATTAATCGACTTTAAAAAATGGAATGGTTGATTTAATTAACTATAGATTTCATATTAATTGACTAAAAATCGATTAAGTCGATTAATAATCTAAAAATCTTTATATCATTTTATTCGATTTAACGAATAAAGTTTTAAATTTTTGTTTGTTCATTTAATAACAATAGCATGTACTTCTACAAGCTACCTTAGTATGTACTTCTACGAGCTACCTAGCTTTTTGTTAACTTTTTGTTATCTTAAATGTTTATCTAACTCATAGTATTTTGGCATTATTTATATCAAATTAAACTTTCGGTTATGCATTTCATTAATTTTTTAATTGTTTTTGATAAGACTCAGCTTGCGGTTTTCACAAATACTTTTATACAGGCTCGTTCCAACTGACTTGTGGCCATCGGGAAAAATTAAATTGCGAAGCTCCAAAATATAAATGTCATCTATACTACCACATTGCTTATATAATTGTATAGACTTTTTGATATTTAGCAAGTATTTAAGACGGTAAACATTTATTGGGTCTTAGAATAAATTGACCCGTCGTCGGAGTGGTTCTGCTCTCATATTGTTTTGTTTCATCAATATTTAAATAATATGATGTAAAGAAATAAAAAACAAATAAAAAATACATTAATAATGTATTTTTGTTCGTTTTTTATTTTTTGCATCATATCATTCAAAAATTAATTAATATTAATGAAATAAGAATAATTGATAACGAATATTGATAAAATAAAACAAAAATGTCGAGTGTTTAAAACTATAAAATTTTAAATCATCAAATTTCTTTTTTTTTAATCGTGATTTAAAGTTTTATAGTTTTAAAATACTCGACATTGTTGTCTTATTTACTCGGCATTGTTGTCTTATTTATCTTACCTGGAGGGTAAAAAAGGGCGACTACGTATGTGCACGTCGTTTCTTCTCCTTCTTCTCCGTTTGTTTTGCGGATTTTCTTCCCAACACCAACAGATTTAGATCCTTTCCAAACCAGTTGAGTAAAAGATAATGTTTTTCTAACATTAGTGTTTTTAAAGTTAAAATCCATTTCTTTGCTGCAAACCTCATCGTACCTAAACGTAAAAGCATGACCAGATAAGTTAATTGCTGTGTATTAAAAAAGCTTCACACTCAAGTAAATTAGGCTACGCTTAAGTAAATATTAAACATATCAACTAATTTTACCGACTTATATTTAAAGTTGCTCATTATTTGAATAGGATACTTATAATATATCTTATGATTAAGAAGTAAATTACAAGTAATGTTATTTGTTTAAACCAATTAAAAAAAAAAGCAAACATTTATGATAAATATAAAAATAAATAAAATAAGAAAAGTATATAAACTAAAAAAACAATAAAAATAGAAATTTTTCAGTTTTCTTTTATCGTTTTTAGTTTATTTGTTTTAATCAAATCTAATTAAATACGTTTTTGTTTTTTTTTATTTTTAAACATCTATCAAAAAAGTTGACTGTTAATATAAAATAATTTTTTCTGATCAAAATCTGACTAAACTATCAAGTCGTTTTATGTTTAACCCTGCACTTTTTTATTTCTTTCTTAAAATAAAACTTAAAATTCTTTAGAAGAAACAAAGTTATCTTTAGAAGAATACCCTTTGTTAAGAAATGAATTTGCAATTTCAATAAAAAAAAAAAACGCTTTAAAGAAAACATTAAATAACGAAACTCTAAAATCAGACACGGGAGAATTCGCACTAAGGGTAGATTAGGGTATTATGAGCACCTTAAGCAAAAATTGAAATATTTTTAAAAATAATAATGCTGGATGTAAAAATATTTTTGAACAAACAATTGTTTCGAACAAACAATTGATCACTACTCATGATCCACTTTGACATTTAGGCAACCGAAGTTTTTTCTTTAAAACACAGAGGTTTTAAAAAAGTACCAAAAGTGTTCATATTAGCCAGACCACTTGATAATATGAGCACTTTAAATTAGCTAAAAAAAAAAAAAAAACATCTATTAAGAAAAAAAAATACCAACCTGACAGTTAGAACTAATTTGTGAATTATAATGATTCGTTACTAACAAAATTTAACATTGAAAGATCAAAATTTACGCCACTTTATATTAAAACAAAACTTTATTTTTTTTGCTAAAAAATTAATTAGTTTTTTTTTTTCAATACCTTTAAACAATAAAATTACGAATTTTTTAAATTTAAATTACAGAAATCGAATTAGTATTGTTAAAATAATCAAATTTTTAAAAATTACAGAAAAATATTTAATATTGTTTAAATATTAAAATCTTTTACTATATTTTGTTTTTATTCAAAAAGCAATTAAATTCACTGCTTTTTTAGGACTTTAAACTAGGCAATTTTAATGAAAAACACTGGATAATTTGAATATGCTCATATTACACAAAAATGGTATCTTTAAATAAAGTCAAAAATAAATGTTTCTATGCATTGTTTTCTAAACAAAAATGAAAAGGATTTTTAGGTAACATATTTTTTCTTTATAAAAAATTAAACTTCATTATTTTAGCATCAAAATTCCACGCCACAGATTTATTCATGCGTGATGATAATATTTTAACAACGCAAAAAGTTTAATAGCGTGTTAATTAGTTGAGAGCGGCTAATTACTGCATAAAAATTTACGCTAAATTATACTGATTCCTGTTTTCACAACAAAGTCGATTCAAAAAATACAAAGCAACTTTAATTTCACTGCTTTTAAGATTTCTTTTATTATGCTCATATTACCAAGGTACTCATATTACCCTAATCTACCCTTATTACTTTGATTAATTACTTAAAAAAATTCGAACTTAATAAATTGCTAAGCTATTACTGATTAATCTAATTAAGTTAAGTTATATAATGAATTCCAATTGAATTAATTGTATAATGAGTGAAAAAAATAAATCATTTTATAATTTCACTTAATATTAATCAATCAACATTATCAACTGACACAAGTTGTTGGTGTAGCTTAAAAAGTAAAAAAAACAGAGCAACGTGTTATTTTAAAGTCAGCTTTATTGCGCTCTATAATCTTCTCAGTTTTCTTGGGTCTGGTTCAGTATTCATTTTAAGAAGTTTTTGTAAATAAAATATAGTCAAAATACTAATTAAAATTGCAGACTTGGATTTTGACGGAACGTGAACGTGGCAGACATTTTGGAAAATTATTTAGAATATTTAAAACAATATTACATATTTAAAAATGATTGACCTTGTAATTATTTGTATAAGGTGCAAACAGAAAAACTTCAGCTTTACTCTATCTTTTAAGCTCAAGTTTAGCTTATATTGAATATGTAAAAATATTTGTAGATAGTATTTTTAAAATTTTAAGCTAGGTTCAAAAAATTATAATTAAAAAAAAATCTATAAAAGGCTCAAATTTAAAGTGTTTAAAGTGCCAAATATTTATTTTTATTACCCAAAAAATCTTTATTTACATTTTCATTGCTGTCATCTTAAGTTAGGAAAGTTACTGAAATCTTTGCACAATAATAAACAATATGGTTAAAAATAAGTTATCAACGTTTTTTTATTTAGGGAATTAAAAATACTGTCGACTAAACTAAATTTGGTGGTAAAAGTACACCGAAAATAACCATAACAAAAATAAATAAATGAAACTTGCAATGAAACGTATCATTTATTTTATATTTGCGTAAAACATAAAAAAGCATAATTATATTTACATTAATTTTTATAATTTTTTTTTAATTTTATTTACAATAAAATAATAATAATGTAAAAGTATAATTTACAAACACAAATTTTACAAAAATAAAAACTAGTTATTCTTTTTAAATTTCAAATACAAAATTTGCTAGATATTTAAATTCACCGTTTAAATTTACTTGCCGCCCTCGAGCGATGAATAAATCTTTACCACAGCCCCTTAAATACTGTTGCTTCTTCATCAGTTCTTCATCATTCATCAGTTCTAAAATAGCATATTGCAACGAAACTTACATTCTATTTGACCTATATTGGCGAGCTATGCAAGTTGTTCATCTAAAAGCTATCAATTTAAATAAGCTTTTTTTTACCTATCGCTGACAACATTCTGAATTCAATGTAATTTTAAAACAATATAAATTTGTTTAGTGATAAAAATGACTTTTTTTCAAATGTCGGAATGCAATATCGCATTCGCCCTGACTATAACCTTATAAAGTATAAGCTGAAGTATTACATGGTTTGAGATGGTCTCTAGAGATTTTGTAAATTTTATAACTTATTAATTGTAACATCCATTTTATGATGAAGTGAAAGAAATTTTATAGATTTTATTAATTGTAAATTTTGCTGATTTTTTTTTTTAATTTTTTTGTAAACTACTTACAGTTGTTATTTTTGTATCGAAAAAAAAATTGCTCGAAAAACATATTAATATTGAAATTTTTTAAATCGAAACGATTTTTTGGGATTAATATCAAAAATTAATTTTAAGGAATTAATTCGAATAAAAAATTAAAATTAATTTAAAAGGAATAATGTCGAAAATACCTATACGGAATAATATCAAAATTTGGATTTAGGAATAGTATCGAAAAACTAGCGAAGGGGTAGAACATGCGAGGAGTATTGCTATATCGGCTGATAAATATGTAGAACACGCAAGGAGTGCTGCTACATCAACTAAGGGTTTGGTATGGACAGGCAGACTATCAATTAAAATTCACAGTTTCTGTTTTTTCTCTATATCGATATTTATACGAAAAGTCTTTTTTCGGACATTTTTTCTATTGAACTATTTTGACCTTACTCTGCTTTTCGTATTTCAGATACAATTCCTTTTTTTATAATATCGGTTTTATTCTCTATTCTGATACTGTTACTAGTAACCAATTTTTTTATATATTTAAACATTACATATATTCTTGAAGTGCAAGATAAACTAAAATAATTGGCAAAATCATTTAATGGCAACACGTACCGGGCCCTACTCTGTCTCATATTATCCCATTATGGTTGCTTTTTTTTTTTTTTTTTAAGTTTAGATAAAGCAGAACTTTGAGAAGATAAGAAAAATAATTTTTTTTTTACTTTTTATAATAAAACATAACCTATAACTTGTATTACATAAGCTCTGAGACCAATTACATGTAGTACATATAGCTACGTCGGTACTTTTATTTATTATAATAAATAAAAGTACCGAAAAGTACTATATGTATTACATGTAATTGGTCTCAGAGCTTATGTAATACAAGTTATATATTATGTTTTACTATAAAAATAAAAATAAAAAAATTTTTCTAACCTTCTAAAAACCTGCTTTATCTAAACTTAGATTTTTAAATGACACGAACATGAAATACCCAGTATATAAAAAACCGGATAAAGATATCCGGCCAGATATTGAATCCCGAATAAAACTCTTATTTGGCCCGGATATCCAACCGTATAGTTTATTCGGGACACCCCTAACATAAATTGTTGCATTTGCGTGGAAATCCAATTGATGCACATTCAGCCATTCAAAAAGTTTTTTCTCCTCTTCAATTAAAAAAGTTTTCTCGCAATATTCAATATTTGTATACTTTTTTCATTCAAAGTAGAAGAAAATTAGAAGGAACTTGGGGGACGACTTGAACTTACACATTTAAATCATGTTACATCATTTAACTTACACATTTAAATCATGTTTCATCAAAGAAGCATATGATTACCTTTCCAACATGTGATAACTCGTTAATATTGGAATAGTTTAAACAGGTGAAAACAATTTGAAGAGCTCAGTGCTAAAAGTACGTCACAAAAGAACAAGTCACAAAATAAATGTTTTAAGAAAATCTATTTTGATCAGTCATTTTAAATCTCTGATCAAAATATATTTTCTCATAAAATTTATTTTGTACTTTTAGCACTAAGCTCTTTATTTATTTTAAATTGTATTTTTATATTGTTATTAAAGATTTTTTTTATTTATTTAATAAAAAAAATACTTTGTAACAATATTCGTAAAATTTTCTTCTTTAAGCATATTGATCTAATCAAAAAAAGTTACTTTTGTCTGCCATCCATTTTCCATATGTGAGAAATAAAGTTTTGTTTTTGCATCAATATGGTCCATCAATATGGATTCATTTCCAAAATAAAAATATTAAAGACCTAAAATGCATTTCATCGTTTAAACGCCAAGCTAAAATGCATCTTTATAATTCCTGACATTTATATTATAGTTGACAGTATTTGTTTTCAGACTTTTTAATTCTTTTTATTTTTTATTTCTTCTTATTTATTTAATATTTTTTTGCTTTAATTTTTTACACTAAAAAAAAAATATAAGCTTTATTTTATTGAGTTTTTATTTTATTTTAAAAATTAAAGTGTTTTTTTTAATGAGTGACTAAAGAGGCTCTATGAAAAGTTGTGATGATAAGCACATCACCCTTACCTTCTTTGAGTCCCTGACCGATTATAACAGTATATATATATATATATATATATATATATATATATATATATATATATATATATATATATATATATATATATATATATATATATATATATATATATATATATATATATATATATATATATATATATATATATATATATATATATATATATATGTATATATATATATATATAGTGTTCCTAATTTTACATGTCTTAAAAACGAAATGAACTATACTACCATAGCAAACAGTTCAGGAGTCTGGAGTTATAGCATGCCATGACATGAGCAATCAGCTGAAAAGTGACAGCACACAGGCAGAATTTCGTTGACAAGTGCAATTTTGCAGCGGACAAAACAAGTGCAAAATTTCTGATTTGTTTCATTTTCTTAAGTCTGATCCGTGTCAACGTCACGGAAGTTTTTTAATAATTAAAGGAAGTATCCAGAAGTTTCCAGAAGATTCCAGAAGCATGCAGAAGCTTCCAGAAGTTTCCAGAAGAAGCATCTGGAAGCATCCAGAAGCATCTAGAAGTATCCAGAAAAATTCAGAAGGATCCAGACGCATCCAGAAGCATCGAAAAGAAGCATCTAGAATTTTCCAGAACAGGTTCACACAGGTTCATTTTACTATATAAGAGACATGTAAACCGACATGTAATTCAGTCAGTATATGGAAGTCAATCAGTCAGTATTATCAAGACAGTTTATTGAAGTGAGTTTTATCAAAGTGTTTTATCGAAGAACAATACAAGAAGTGAAATACAACAAGTGTTTCATTACATCAATACAGTCCACATCCAACCAAGTGTAACACGTAAATCTTAAGAAGCGTGGTTATTTATTTTTATTATTTTTATGACTTCGAAAAATGGCTCCCGACAGTCTTGGATTGGAACTAAGAAAGATTACGTATTATTGGAGATTACGTAAGTGGAATGTCACAAAAAAGTATTTGTGATAAATATTGCGTGAAAAAATGGACCGTATCAAGACTATGTTTCAAAGATCGCTTTACGGGGAAGTTGGCAGCAGATAACAAAGGTGAAAGACCGCGTTCCACCACTTCTAGAGAGGATTCTATGATCTTCAGATCCGTCAAGAAAGATCCCTGGATATCATCAGTCGAGATACAAAAGCAGTTAGAGCTGCCTGTATCAGACCGAACAATCAGACGACGTGCTGTTGAAGCCGGATTGTTTTCTCGACGCCCTGCAAAGAAACCGCTGATTTCACTAAAGAATCAGAAGTAAAGACTCCTGTTTGCTATATCTCATATTGATTGGAATGTGCAGAAATGGCGAACTGTCCTGTTCAGTGATGAATTGAAGTTCAACATCATTGAGAGCAATGGCATTTGACGTGTACGTCGACCGGCCGGAAAACGCCTCGATTTACGTTACTGCCATAAGACCGTGCAGTATGATGGAGGCAATGTAATGGTCTGGGGATGTTTTTCTGCTAACGGTCTGGGTCCAGTACATCGAATCGATGGAATAATGGACCGTTTCATGTATAAAAATATCCTGAAAGATGTTATGTTATCTCATGCTAAATGGAATACGCCAATAAAATGAATTTTTCAGCAAGACAACAATCCGAAACACACTGCAAAAGTAGTCAAGCAGTGGTTTCAAAACAACCACCTCTCCGGTGATGGATTGGCCCCCTCAATCTCCGGATCTCAACTCTATCAAGAACCTGTGAGAGATCGTCGACCGCAGAATTAATCGTGAAGGTGTTCGCAATAAGGATCAACTGTTAGAACAAATCTAAAAGGCCTATGCATTTTAGATTTCAAAAAGTTTCTTTGATCACCTGATCAAATCTATGCAAGGCTGTGATCAACAACAAAGGATTCACCACAAAATATTGATAGCAAAATACAGCTTTGTTAACACGTGCCCTAAGAGAAGGAAGTTCACGCCTCCTTCCTTACCGTGACGCAAAATATGTCCAGAGCTCGTTTCGAGCCTGGATCTCCTGATTATAAAGCAAGCGATCTAACCACTGCGCCACGGCCACGACTTTTATATAAAGAAACTAAATTAGCATTATTTGGTTGCACTTGTATTGTCCGATACTATATATATATATATATATATATATATATATATATATATATATATATATATATATATATATATATATATATATATATATATATATATATATATATATATATATATATATATATATATATATATATATATATGTGTATATATATATATATATATATATATATATATATATATATATATATATATATATAAAGGAAAATTTATATATTTTCCAGAATAGTTATGCTGGATCCGAAATTTTTGCTAATAAATAGTTTTTAGGGATCCCTACTCATGATCCACTTAGATATTTGGGCACCCGAAATTTTTTTCTTAAAGATAAAGAGGTTTTAAAAAAGTTGCAAAAATGCTCATATTACCCAGACCACTTTGTAATATGAGCACTTTATATTAGCTCAAAAAAAGAACATTATTTAAGTAAAAAAATACCAACCTAACACTTAGAACTAATTTTTGGAATATAATGATTCGTTATTAAAAAAACTCATCATTAAAAGAAAAAATTTTAGTTTACTTTTTGTTGAAACTATGTTTTCCGCAAGAAAAAAAAAATTTAGTTCGTTATTTTATCAATTTTATTAAACTCAAACGTTTGAACGATAAAAATTCAAATTTTTTGATTATAAATTACAGAAAAGTATTTAATATTGTTTAAATATTAAAATCTTTTACTATATTTTGTTTTTATTCAAAAAGAAATTAAAACCACTGCTATTTTAGGACTTTAAACTAGGTGATTTCAATGAAAAACACTGGGTAATTTGAGCATGCTCATATTAGACAAAAATAACATCTTTAAATAAAATCAAAACTAAATGTTTCTATGTATTTTTTTACAAACAAAAATTGGTTGGATTTTTAGCTAACCTATTTTTCTTTATAAAAAAAACTAATTTTATTATTTTAACGCCAAAATTTTGCGCCACAGATTTATTTATGCGTGATGATGTTATTTTAAAAACGCAAAAAATTTAACAGCGTTTCAATTAGATAATACCCGCTAATTACTGCATATAGAATTATGCTAACTGTACTGATTCCCCTTATCACCACATAAAGTCGATTCAAAAAATACAAAGCAACTTTAACTTCACTGCTTACATTTAAGAAATCTTTAAGTATGCTCATATTACCCCAATCTACCCTATATATATATATATATATATATATATATATATATATATATATATATATATATATATATATATATATATATATATATATATATATATATATATATATATATATATATATATATATATATATATATATATATATAAATTAAAAACGTTGTTATCAAGGTTTTTATGTTTATGATGATATTTATTTTTTACATGACAATGTAAAAAATTGTAATATTGTTTAGTCAGCGAAATAAAAGTTAATAATATTAAATCAATAAAACGTTTGTAAGGAACTTTGGTGGACGACCTGGCACATAATAACTTTTGTAAGGAACTTTGGTGGACGACCTGGCACATAACAACTTTTGCAAGGAACTTTGGTGGACGGCCTGGCACATAATAACTTTTGTAAGGAACTTTGGTGGACGACGACCTGGCACATAATAACTTTTGTAAGGAACTTTGGTGGACGACGTGGCACATAATAACTTTTGTAAGGAACTTTGGTGGACGATGTGGCACACTTAAATAGCTTTAAATTAATTAAATAAACAATTTTATCAAAATTTTAGTTATGTTTCATTAATGAATCTATTATTACTTTTTCAACATGTTAAGATTGGTATAGTTTAAACGGGTGAAAAAGATTTATTTTAAATTGTATTTTTATGAAAACCCTTAATAACAATATTCTCAAAAAAACTTATTTGAAGCATTTTATAAATTATGCGAATAAATTGAAAAAAACCGATTATAAAAAGTACATTTAAAATTTATTTTGTAGTTGTGTTTTGATTTTATTATCACTAGTTATTAACGAGATATTAAATCAAATTGTGGGCCATTACTTTTGGACAAAATAAAGTGACGTTGCCCTAATTCTTTTTAACAAATCCAAATTTCTAAAATCAAAATTGTTTCTTTAAAATACTCTTCTAAGCAATGTATCAGCTTTAATAACATCTTACTAACCATATAAACTTATAAACTTTTTCTTTAGAAGTTTAATATAGTTTGCCTAACGCGATCGTTAATGTTAGGCGTATGTTGGTGTTGCATTGGCATCATGTTTCATTCGGTAAGAATTACGTTGGAACACTGCTATTATTAAGTTATTTATATTACATTGGTTTAACATAAAGCAATGTTTTTATCAATTTTTGTGTAACACTGCTTAGATGCAAGTAGTCTTGTATTTTGTACACGTAATTTTGTATTGTTAAACAGTACAACTTTTAACATAACCCCCTGGCCACTGAACTTTTAACATAACCCTTAGACACTGAACTTTGAATCTGATTTTATAATCATCATTTGCAACATATGAAACGTATACTGTTTTAATAATACATATTGAATTTGTAAATTATAAAAACAAAAAAGCAATTACCAAGCATTGACAGCTTCACTTGCAAGTAATTGTCTATTATAATTGGTGCATAACATGAAAGTGTTTTCACCAGGTTCCGTGGGTTTGGAAAAATTTCCATCTTTCGCTATTAAATTAGCTAAATGTTGAGCTTTCGCAGTAAGGTTTGAATCAAGAACCAAGCCGCTTGCTTTGTGATTCTTCCTGAGCTCATTAGCTTTTTTTAAAAAATCTGCAGTAAAGTTACGAGCTTCACTTAATGCATTGAACCATAAAATAATATATAACAATAAAAACGCTAATAATGCCATGGTTTAAAGTTATGCTGATGAAATTGACTCTAAAAACAATAGTTGCACATTTTTCAACTTGACAAAAATACCAAATTTCATTTAAGCCTAAAGACAAGTCTTACTCATACTCTGTAAGATAGTTTGTGTTAGAAATTTTTTTTTGTTTCACTTGAATGGCTATGAACTGTTTATAAGGATCACGTAAGACGGGGGTCGCAAGTTTAAGATTTTTAAATATATAAACTGGTTAAAGAACGACTACACTTAGGAAAAAAGCAAGAATTTAAAAAAAAAAAAAATTAAAACTATTTTCTTTTTCAGCGTACATTCAGTCATAATGGCACATCTTGTGTTTGTTTTTAAGCTTTGCTATTAAAGTAAACCTGATTATTGAAACAAATCATTATTACTAGACATTTTCAAATTTATCTTTAAGAACTGTTGCATATACATATAAGTTTCCCTTATAGGTATATGTAAAAAGTTTTAAAAAATCATTTAAAAATAATTTAAAAAAATTATAATTAAAATTTATGAATTTTGGACTAGATGGGATTTTTAGATCTAAATTAAAGAAAATAGAACAAATTCAAAAAGAAAGAAGATTAAAATGAATATAATTTTATCACCAATAATTATTATTGTAGTGCAGGCACAATAAAAAAAAAAAATCTTTAAAAATTTCACGTAAGTTTATGTAAAATTTTGTTAGTTTTTATCATGAAGCATAATTAAGCTGTATGGTAGGGCGAGACAACGTTTTAGTGTTGATTAATTTTAAATTTGTTATTAAAATTGTCTTTTACGTTTGGATACTGATGTTGCTGTCATCGTTAAAAAATTGCTATCAACGCCTTTTATTATCCTAAAAATTTTAAATTTTAGTAATGCAAACAAAAACTTGTTATCTTTGATCACAGATTTTGTTTATGTTTCTATATTAAAGTAAAATGCCGAACAATGAGTCGATTACGGAAAATTGAATATTTAAAATAATTAAAAGGACGCGTTATTTTCATTTAAATTTATTTAAAATTAACTCTGTTGAATAAAACAAATTGCCAAGTAAAATAAATAAAGAATAAATAAATAAAAAAAAATTTTAAAGATGGATAATAGTTTTAAAATAGAATAGTTTGTTTTGAAGTTACATTGTCACTTGAAACTCGCATATGTATATACATATATACTACCTTTATGTATTATATATTATATATCATTGTATTATTAAAGAAAAACTAGCGTAAAAAAATATACAAATGGAATGGAAATAATTGTATAATAAAACTATTGGTTAAAAACATCTGAATAAATGATTCAACAAAATATTAGAATAACATAATTACTAGTTGAGTAGAAAGTTTTATAAAAATAGAAATATCGTTTTAATTTGTATAAAAATTTTCTTTTTATTTTTTCGTTACGGTTTGTTTAAAACAGCAACTATCGAAAACAATTACAAAATCACAAACCACTATGCATGCCTTTTTGTTGTTTTGACTTGAATAGGTTTCGTATTAAAAAAACTTGAAGTATACCAACAACAATCATTAAAATGCACGACATAGATGAAAACCATGTCACAAGCCATTGATTGTGTTCTTGTAAAGAACGGTGTCTCTTGTAACGCGATCGAAAAATTAACTGAAATTGTTCTATTGTCTCAAATTTTAGACCAATGCTTTCAAGCTTAACCTTAAAAAGAAAAAAAAAAAGAAAATGTAAACAATCAAGTGGAAAAATTATAAGTTGGAATTTATCGCATTATCACATGCGATAATGCAATAAGTTAAATGTAAACTAAAAACAAACCATTATAACATTATTGTTATCGTATCCATCCTTTTCAAGATGTAAACCTTTAAAAAGTTCTTCATGATCAAGACCAGTCTTATTTTCTGACTCGTCAATTCCCAGATCAAAGTAAATAACTTTATCCCAGAATTTACTGTATCTGTTATCAAAACAAATTTCAACAGGACCATCTTCTTCAATATTTATTTCTTTACTAACTTCTGTTTGACGAAACTCGTTTAAATATTCTCTGCCGGTAATCATCGATCGAATCACCAAGGTTATATCAATTTCACCTCCGGAAAGAACCTAAATTAGAAGTAAATTTAAGATGTTATTGTAAAACGTCATGAAAAATATCATGAAAACTGAAAACAAACAAAAAATATTTCATATTGTTGAATGTTAATTTTTATTACAAGGTTATTCAAAGTTATAAGTGTATAAATATATTTTTACTTATACCCGTATATTAATTAATATGGAACGAAAAACTAAAAAAAACAATAACAAATGAAACTAGAAATTTAATTATTTCGATGAAAAATTCAGAAAAATATTCGATTAAAGAAATTTTCAAGCAGCGGGTTTAAATAGAAATTCGGTTGGGCGCATAATAAAATAAAATGACAATGGAGTTATATTTATTCCATCAACTGAAAAAAGGAAGAGAACTTATAGACTCAAAAATTCCTTAAATACGAATGTTGAACAAACGATTATTAATAGTGTCGTTTGTAATAATGCGCAAATACAGAATGAGATTCAAATAACCATTCAAAACCAACACAATCAAAATATATCACAACCTAGTATTTCAAGGAAGTTAAAAAAATCAAATTTAACAAAAAAAAGACTCACTGATACCACATGAACGCAACACGATTGAAAGAATTAATGAAAGAGCAATTTATGCTGATGAATTAAGTAGAATTTTAGATGAAAACTTTTAGACTAAACAGATAAAAATAAACACACCATTCGTTCGGACGGATATTCATTAAAAGACACCAAAGCATTTACAATAGTTTCAGCAAATAAAGGACAAAATTGTAGCCTTATGTGCTTTATATCAACGAAGGGTATTGAATGTTTTAAGTATAAGAATGGGGCTTTCAACGCAGATACTTTTATTGAATTTATTTGTGTTCAACTTGTGCGATTCAAACATGAGAAGTTGGTTAGTAAAAGCAACGAGAAGAGAAGAATTTATTTAATAAAATAATTTAATCATTGAAATCTAGTATATTTTTAATGTTTTCTTGATAATTAAATATTTTTTTAAAAATAAAAAAAAGATTTTAAGGAATTTTATAATTTTTTATTTATGCACTTATAACTTTAAATACGTGCACTTATAACTTTGAATACATGCACATATAACTTTATATAACCTTGTCAACACTTAAAAAAAAAAATTTCATGTTTAAAAAAAAAAATATTTACGTGAAATTTGAAATTATTAACATACAATGTTAACAATTTCATTATTACATTAAAAAATTTATTCTATTACATCATTTGAACATTAGATTATTAAATGATTCTAATCAATACTTTTTCTTTTTTTATGGTATCAACGTACAACTATGGTATCAACGTACAACTATGGTATCAACGTACAACTATGGTATCGACATAAAATTATAAAACATTCCACTTTACTTTTATATCAGCATACAGAATAAGATCCTTGGATGAAAAGAAGTTCATGACTACACTATTTACAAAATTTCTGTCGCCATATTTATTTACATTTAAACTTTTTAAGAAAACTTTTTTCTAATATTCTATGAAATTTACATCGATAGTATTAAGATGAAGTCAAATTGTTCTGGTCCATTGTCAATACTTGAGGTAACAATATCAATATAAAGTAGCTAACTCAATATTGTGATATTTTCTTTACAAATTATATAGTTAAATACTGAAAAAACAAAATAAAATGAACAGAACAAAAGCTAATATCAACTTATTTAAAACTTTTACAGTTTTAATATAACATTCAACATAAACAACCACATCTGCTTGTTCACACAAGTTTATGATATAACTTTATGGAATGTTTTAAAGTATTCAGATGGTTAAATAATAGGAATTTCTCTCAAAAAGAGAGTATTGCGTATAATTAAAAAATCTGTTGCCATTTTTTATGGTTTTTAGTAATATAAGCAATCAAATAATAAAAGATTTAAAAAAATTGGACTTTGCATTTGAGCTTGACCAAAAAAAAAAAAAAAAAAATGCAGAATATAAAGAATATAGTACAACCAAGAACATCTCATAATATAATTTTTGTAGAAGTTTTCTGCAACACTAGTTAGATCTAAAATTTTACTAAAAATTTTTATTTGTGGAAGAGGAAAATAAAAATAAGATCGATTTATCAAATTAACACATTTAGATTTTCAAACAAGCCATAACAATAAAACCTTGTTTCAAAAATAAAATGTAACAGAAAACACCCACTGATACTATGTATCACAAAAAAGTACCAAACCTCCCTTACCTTTTAAGTAATCACCATAAATTTCAAAAATTATATCTTCAGCATTTTTAATTTTAATTTGGAAACAATATATGCAGCAATACAAACATCCTATTTTACTGTTTTGTTTCATAAACTCTTTTAAGTCAGTAAGTAAAAATGTATTTTTAGTTTTTGAATACAACAACAACAAAAATGATGTTAGGAGCAGTCAAAAAAGTCTGCATTAAACCTTTGTAGCAATTCAGCATGGTGAATATGGATTTTCTCAACAGCTTGTTGAGGAGAAATAAAATATATGGCACATATATGGAAAATTATATATATCATTTTAAGTTTATTTAAAATAATTAAATCTAATGTATGAGATAATTAAAATGGATTAAGTTAATTACTTTATTTATTTAAAATAATTAATTAAATCTCCTAATGTATGAGATATTGCATTTGTTGTTATTAAAGTAAAAACCTTTATTCCATTTTATATTCCATTTTTACTATATTTATGTACTTTTTTTTACTAATTTTAATAACAAAACATGTATTATTAGTTTCACATTTTTAAAAATCAAATTTACTCCGAACAAGGCTGCAAGTAACCACTGTTAAGTTAAGAGTTACTGGAAAACAAAAAACAGAGTTTAAAAGCATGAAAAAAGTTGAAAAGAACTCCTTTGAGAAGCAATCATGATAGTATTTTTAGAAAAGAAAAAGTGATGCAACTTTATGACAATGGAAGAGAGGCTCATGCTTGGCAGATGAAACTCTAACTATGTTTACAATGTATTTTTGGACTTTGTATAGAAGAGAAAAGCATCATTAGAAGAACCAGCCTGAATATGATAACAGTATACCATACAGGTAAGAATAAGAGATTTGCAGAGGTAGAGAATAGAATCAGGAGTAAGATAATGGTAAGCATGATAAAAAGAAGGAATCTTAGCATATGCTAACTTTGCAATCAAATGTATATATGGTTTCCATGAAAGGTCAGTAACAGTAGTGAATGATAATCCAAGAAAATATAAAGTAGAAGACTAAAGTATAGGAATATAGACAGTAGTTGAGTTTTAATGAAGTTAAAATTCACAAGCCACTGCAAGCGCCAAGCTGTTACAGAAATGAGATCAGATTCAAGATCTGCTCCCTGTTCTAAGCAATCTAAGAGAGAAGACTTTTTATAAAGACAGGAGTAAAAAGTTGTGTCGACAGAAAATAGAGCTACTTTAGATGTAAGATAGTCAGGAAGATCATTAATGTAGATAAGAAACAAGGCGAAGGATAAAACCTTGAGGAATCTCAGAAGGTACTAGAAATAAAAAAGAGTGTTAGCTTTCAAGAATGACTTTAATAAACTGGTTAGAAAGAAATGATTTGATAACATATTTCCATATTAAGTACATATATGAAGAACACCAGCATGCCAAACCTTATTAAAAGCTTTAGATATATCAAAAGCAACAGCCCTTATCTTACTGCCACCATCTAATGTATGATAGAATCTTTCAGTCACAACAATTAGCTGTGGCTACCACCTAGAGGAGAACAAGGAGAAACTGAACACAAGCTAGGGTCAGACACAAACCACAAAGTTAAGTTAACTGATAAGGGTTGCCTGGAAAATGAGTCACTAAATTAACTATTTGAGTAAGTGATTGAGGGAGAGGTTATGAGTTTAAGTGATTAAGAGAGAGGTTATGAGTTTAAGTGCCAGTAGGATCAGAGGTGTTAGGGTCAAGCCATTTAGTATGATAAGCATTAAAGTCATCAATAACAATATATACAGGGGTAAAAGAAAGAGTACAATTAATTTGATTGGAAATAACATAAAAAAAAAATGCAATCTTGAGAAAAAGGAGAATGAAAAAGAACATTAAAAAAAAAAAAATGTTATCACTTTTCTCATAACAAGAAAGGTGATAGATTTTTTTTTAGATATATAGAGTGAAGAGATGCTAAATATTGAAACAGTTAGGTGATGGTTTTTTATTTTTAATATTATTGGTTACTTTGTACATGGCTTAGGTTAAACATTTTATCTCTAATTGCTTTTCTGAACAACTAACTGCTTTGGTCACCAAATTGAAATTTAATTTCTTTAGCATTTTCCCTAAACCAATAGTCATGTATATTCTTTCATAAGTTAACATAATCATATAATAAAAAAATGTTTTTCTTAGTTCTCCATAGCTTATTAGAAATGATTTTAAAAATAGTAAAAAAATGCGTATTTACTTATTTTTTTATTAATGCAACTCATCTTCCCATTTATACAGTAGTAAATTTATTGTTTTGTTTTTTTATTAATTTTTGTAATATGACTTTGTAATATGTATATTGTATTATATTGTAATATGACTTTGTAAATTGACTGTTTTATTAAAACAGTGTTTACGGCTTTTAACAAACTGAGAATTTGAGGATATCTCACTTTGCGATCACTTAATTCGAGCCTTGAACTATTACTTAGTTCATCCTCTTGAATCATCTTCTTTCTTGCTACTAAACTTGTTTATGATGTCATACCTGATTTTGCTGATGCAGTTGGAATTTGACTTTATTGTTATGAAATATTGTTGTAGGTACATTTAATTCTTTTTACTAATCATAATTAACATTTTCAGACCAATGTTTAGAGCATACTACAGTACATTTAGAGTCAGGAATATTATCTTTTGGAATTGCAGTTATCCAGCATTAACATTCATCTTTGTCTTTTGTTAACCAGTAATATATTGTTCTTATTTTTTTTGTCATAGTTAGATGAGCATTAAGTGACACAACACTAGAGCCACATTTTATAAAGAAACATTTTTAAAAAAACCTCAAAATATCTGATGTTTAAAAAATCAACCCTCAGTCTTTTTGTTTGACTGAATGTTGTAAAAATAGTCTCGAAGGGAACATAATGAACTGAAGAAGGATTTATGAAAAGGAACTCAAGAGCATAATAAACAGGAAAGAATTATGAAGGGAGACTAAAGAGCATAATGAATAGGATTTAATAAAAGTAGCAACTAAAATCAAATTATCTTTTTTTAATTCAAGTTGACACTGGTTGTGTATATTCTTAAACTATGAATATTGCTAAAAACCGCAAATAAAAAAAAATTGCATTGGTTACTTTGCAACAGCTGTATATATTTATTAAAAGGAAACAGAAAAAAATATATATTCATATTATAATGCTCTTTTTATAAAACACTTATACTGTTTTGGAACAATACAATGTAATAAATCAATAGAACAAATATTTTATCAGCCTTAATTTTTCACAGGAATATATATGTCAACTAAAACAATAGTTCTGTTTATAGCTTAATTTTAGATGAATCTACCCCTTTTTTATATAACTTTGTTTTAGATAATCTACCCCCCCCCCCCATGTCTTTAGCAGAAAATAACACTTAATAATAATTTCAAAACAATAAAAAACATAATAAATGTACCTGAAGATCAAAATCCATCATATCCCCTTTAGAAAGTTTCCTATAAAAACAATCCATTTTTCCAGCACCAACAATATATTGAACACCATCTTCAATTTCACATAATATTGCAGCAACAAAGTAAAATATTAAATAAACTTTCATTTTTCTATAAAAAAAAAACTATAACAGGAAAGAAAAAATTAAGTATTATAACATTTTAGGAATTAAAAAACAAGAAAAAATTATTAAATAATTTTAATATAATTTTAAATTTCAGTTAACATTTTATGAAAAAATTCATGCAGAACTTAATAAAAATATTTATGCTGAACTCAATGAAAATATGTATGCAGAAAATAATGTTTAAACTTATAAATTGCTACTTGTTCACAGTAAGCTTGCTGTATGTATATTTATTATATGTATGTTCACTATGTTTACAGTATGTTGATTTTATATGTTAACAATATACTAAAGAATTTATTGTTAATAAATAAAATCAAGAGCAAATAGAGCTTTGTAAGTTTGGATCTTCTAGTGCCAATCCTAAGTGCACGTTCTATATATTTACGTTTTTGTGTGTATACTGTTTATTTTATGTAAAGTAAGATTTACTACATGTACTTTATTATTTATGACTAGCAACAGTTTTTTTTGACTCACAATAATATTATATGATTTGCAATAGTGTTTTATGACTTGCAATAGTATTTTATGATTTGCAATAGTGTTTTATGACTTGCAATAGTATTTTATGATTTGCAATAGTGTTGTACAACTTGCAATAGTATTGTTAAACTATAAATTTTATTTTAACAATTAAGTAAATTATAAATTAAGTAAATAAAAAATAAAGCCAGAACTAGCAAATAAATTAAGACATAAAACTAGCAAATAAATTAAGACATAAAACTTTTCTTCTTAAAAATTGAATCCTTCTAATTAAAAAAGTATATAAAAAAAAGAAAAAGGAATTGACATAAGTATATGTAAATTCTTCAAATATATAAAAAAATACATATTTCATAGAAACAATTCTATTCTTAATAAGCAAAAATAATTTATCAAATATATATTTATAGAACATAGCTAAGAAATATCTTTTCATTATATTCAGAAAAAAAAAGATCTTTTAAAAGTAAAATAAAACTGTCGTAAAAACAACTGTGATAAAGCATAATAAAGAATTTCATAAAAATAACAATTATTGTGTAACAAAAAAAAAAAAAAATTAATAAAAGGTTAACAATAAAATAAAATGAAATAATATACATTATAATATACACAGCACACTAAATATCCAAACTACAATGAGCAAATATTAAATTTTATTAAAAAAAACAAACAAACAAACAAAAACAAATACCGATTACAACAGTACTTTTGAAAAAAAAACAACCTGAAACTGCAAGTCTTTTTTGTTAATGCTCAAAAAATCTAATGCTTCATATTTCAAGATTAAATTGCACAATAAAAAAATATTTTCTTTTTTATTTCTTTTTTTTTTACTCTCAATTTTTTCTATAACTCAAAACTTTAAACATTATTATGTATGAAAACATAAAATCCAAAAGAAATACTTAACGCGTAACTTATTGAGAAAATTGTAAAAATCATAAAACTGACTGATGCTGTTTAAACCAAATTTTTGCAACAACTTAAACGACAGTTGCTCACAATAAATAATTACAAAATTTAATGTTCAATTTCATCTTTGACACTCAAACTATTATAAGATAGATGTCCTATTTCTGAATGAGTAACATCATTAATTGACATTTCAATACTGTTGTTTAGAATTTGCTGTTCAAAAATCTGGCCACTTGATTGAATTTGAAAAGAGTGAAATGCTTCATTGGCAGGAATAATGGTGGTCAGTGGTCTGTTCTCGCTAGAAGTAACAAGATTGTGATTAAGTATAGGAAGTAGAGTACTTGCAGCAAATGAAAGCTGAGAAAGACCAACACATTGTTGACAACCCCCAGCAACTGACTCTGGAGATTCGGTTTGAAGTGGAGATAGTGTTAAAGCATCAAGTTGATCTTGAACACCTGAGCCTATAGAAGAAAAAAAAAAACAACCAATGTAAATGGATGTATTTATAAATACTTAGAATTTGTAAATATAACTATTTTTAACATACTTTGTTTAGATATTTTAACTTTTTTGTATTTGTCATATTTTATGTGTTTATGATTATTACTTGGTTTAAAATTTCAGTGATAACTGTTTTTTATTCTAAAACATAGTTAATTCAAATTTGATTATTAAAATAAGGTCTAAATTCTTGAAATGAAAAAAAAAATGAAGATGTATTTGTATCATTAGAAACACATACAAGTCGTTCTTTAGACACACACACATTTTCCAATTGAATACCACAAACTTAAAATAGTTTTAAAACCAACCTGAAAGTGAGTTTTATTGATGAAAAAAAAAAAAAACATTTAGTTTTTTTTTTTTTTTTAACATTTTATTTGCAATCCTTCAAAGCATTATTACATATTTGTAACTTTAAAATAAATAACTTTATATCTAATTCTAGTTCAAACATTTTTGATGAATTTTCTAAGTTTTGGGGATTATTCAATTAGCATATATATTGAGGAGTATTTAATTAACATATATTTAATTATCATATATAGCATATATAACTTATCTTTATTCATTTTACTATTCACAACAGTCTAATTAAAATTTTACTGCTATTTTACTATTGTTTAACAAAAATATGAAATAAGAAAATCAATCACAAAATTCATTCTCTTTATTTAAATTGTAATTAAGCCTTATGTTTGTCCTGTAAAACACATAGCAATAATTAATACTGTTCACAACCATTAAGAACAACTTGTTCCATAAATTTCAATTGATTCTATAACATTTGGTTATCTAGTAAAATCTAGGTTATCAAAGTAATCTACTAAACATATTAAATCTTTGCAAAGTAAATCAAAATTTTGCCAATTTTGCAGTCAACTAAGTATAGGAGCTAATGTACTGAACTGAAATTCTTTGAAATACAAGGGGTGAGCTTTTGATCTAGGATTTGTAGGATTTTAAATAAGATTTTGAAAAATGAGTTTTCTAAACAAATAAATGTTAAATATTATACAAAATATATAATAATGCTAAATGTGTGTGCACATGTATATGCGTATATATATATATATTTATATATATATATATATATATATATATATATATATATATATATATATATATATATATATATATATATATATATATATATATATATATATATAATAAGTAACAACCAAAATAAATTTAAAGTTATGATATACATATACAAATTTAGTATATTTAATTATACATATAAGAATAAATTTTCTAGTGTAACTTCTGATGTATAAATCAACTGTTTTAATGCCTATGAACATAGATTTACTTTTCAAAACAAATTAAAATACAGATCAGAATATACAGTTTTTTTATCAGTAGCCATACCTCCAAGTAGCATCTCCTGTAGTAAATTGTCAACTTTAGCAACACCAAACAAACGAGCAAATTGTAATTGTTCTACCATAATTGATGCTGCTGCTTGCAAAGAAGGTAGGAGAAGTAAAACTTCACCAAACTTACCACGACAATCAAATGAACATTCACTGATGTAGTCTTCCAATGCAGTTTGCACCTCAAAACGCATCTTCTTTATTCGTTTAATATCACTTAAGCCGCGTGCATCTATATTTAAGTATTATAAACAAAGAAATACTTAACAAGATTTATCAGAAACTTTAATGTTTGTTAACTAATAAAGATTTTGTAACTTAAACAGAGTGTCTGCTAATACTTTAAGTGGATTCCCCTAATTTTTCCCTAATATTTTTGTAATTCACTAGCTATTTTCCCTGATTTAATTTAAAGTTATCCAAACTCAACTTCAAAAAAACTAGTCAGATTCTTTTAGAAAATTTCTTTTCTATTGCAAAAATATATCATAAGTTGACGTAATTTTATAGGAGGGGTCTTAGGAAATTTGACATATTGTTGACAAGGGGAGGGAAGGGGAGGTAAAAATTTCAAAAAATTTGTTGATGTAATTAATAGACAGTCCCTATACAGTTTACTTAATGTTAGGACCAAAATTTGTTGCTAACTTATCTAAAAAAAAACATAACCAAGTCACCTAAATTTCAGTAGAAATTTAGTATTTATTTAAATCAACTAACTTATTATTCTAATTAGAATTAGTCAACTAACTTAAGATAATTTGTAAGACTAACTTAAGATAATTCCACTTCTCGAGATTTGATTGTATTACCTTTGGAAGTAACCATAACTTGTTTCTCCTCGCTGTAGTGTCGCTGTAGTGAAATATGTTTTAAAATATAAAGCTGAGAAAGAGTTAAGATTTATAGAAATACATTTAAAAAAATGAAAACTATATCCTCCTAATCCCAGTTTCCTTTAGTTATTTATTGCTTTTAAATTTCAACGAAAAACAGTTAAAATTTTGGAATGAGGCGTTGGTGTTTTTCTTCATCCAGGTACATATGCCTAAGCATAACTGGATTCTTTTTCTTTTGTCTTACCTAGTCTTATTCTTAGTGTTGTTTAAAACAACACTAAGAATGAGCAAAGCCTGTAGTCCTGTAAATTTATTTGAATATGCATTATGATGTAAACTATGTTCTTTTATACAACTAGTTTTTCCTTAATCATGAAATTTTTTACACTGTGCTTCCTTACATAATAAAACTCTGTTATGATCACTAGGCATGTCACAGTTACCTGCTTACTTACCTAAAATATATTTTGAACTCATTATATGTCATAAGTCATTAAGTTCTGCTCATTGAGACACTTATTATACATTTACAAGACCTACACATAAAAGATTACAAGATTAAAAGACCTACATATAAAAGATTACAGGTCGACAAGACCTACACATAAAAGATTACAAGTGTATAAGACCTACGCACAGAGGATTACAGGATTACAAGATCTACACATAAAAGATTACAAGTCAACAAGACCTAAACAAAAAAGATCAAGACACATAAAATTATTGCTACTATAAAACAACACAAACAAATAACAATATCAAAGAGTAAACAAACAAACAAAAAATTAAAGGAGCTACAGCTATGACAAAATATTAATAATAAATGGAGCTCTCACACAACTATAACACATACCCAAGCAATGTCTAAGTTACTGTCATGGCTAAGAGTAGAACCTATTTGTTATTAATTTCTTTGTGACAAGCTTAAAAAACACTTACCAGGATTGAAAAATACAATAGCTTTTAGGCAAGCATATTCTGTGTCATCAATGTTTAACTCAACCATTGGTGTCACTATTTCATCCATAATTTTAATTGCAATACGACGAATTTCTACCTCAGGTTGGTTGCGAGAAATAATAAGATCATTGCCTAACAACAATGCATCATTATATGCCATAGAGCGCCTTGCAACACCTAAAACTAAATGTTCACTAGCATGTGCTCGGAGTAAAGAAACTTGGTCATCAAGAGGCAAGTCACAAAATACTGGAATGTATTTAGCCCATTCAACTAAAACAAGTAGCTGCTGCTTCATTGATTCAACTATATCATGGCTTGTAGCTTCGCGCCCAGTTTTACAATCTAAAAAAAATTATCAAGCATTTACTAATATACAGTAGTTGTAAAGTATAAATATACATAATATAAATACATATATACATATATATATTTAAATAAAAATATATACAAATATTTATATATATATATATATATATATATATATATATATATATATATATATATATATATATATATATATATATATATATATATATATTGAAATGTATATAAATAAATATATATATATATATATATATAAATATATATATATATATATATATATATATATATATATATACATATATATAAATATATATATATATATATATATATATATACATATATATAAATATATATATATATATATATATATATATATATATATATATATATTGAAATATATATAAATAAATATATATATATATATATAAATATATATATTGAAATATATATATATATATATATATATTGAAATGTATATAAATACATATATATATACATATATATATATATATATATATATATATATATATATATATATATATATATATATATATATATATATATATATATATATATATATATATATTGATTTGAGTTTACAAAAAACTAATAGTACAATATTTTAGAATATTCTATTGAATGATTTCAGGTAACGTATAGAGTAGAGTTAGCTCCAGGTTTGTTTGCATCATTACGAAGCTGGCGGATAAATTTTTGTAGATATGTGTTTAAATACATTGTTAATTTTGCAGATCTGGTATTAAATTTGAAAGTGGAATGTGAGTGATTGTTTTTATGTAGACTAAGTGTGATTGGATGGTTAGGTTTGTTTAAAATTAATTTAAAGTGCTGAGAAATACGAGATCAAGATGTTCTTCAATAGGAAGGATACCATAATAGCTTGCCTCATGTGGATCAATACCAGCAGCTTTTAGAAAGCAATTTAAAAGACTTGCATCCTAGATTTAGTTTTATTGGTCGTTAAGGTAAGGATAACTGGATTGTAAGTAAAGTGGCTAAAGCAATAAGCGCGGTAGGCAGATATAAGCATGAGTTGAGACCATTCACCAAATATTCAGAGCTGCTTAAAAAGATACTCATTAGGGGCAATTTTCTTATGTAGACTAGACCATTGCTTGTCAAAATTGAGACTTGAGTTGAGGTTGATACCAAGATATTTTTTTGAGCTTACAAGAATTTTGCTTTTTAATGTTATGACTGGCTTTTCACCTCTGCCAATATAAATAACTTTGCATTTGGCAATGTTGAAAAGCATTTTTTTATCGTTGCACCGTCTTTGTAGACTATTTGCTACTTTTTGTGGAAGGGAAAAGTTATTACTAGTTATGTAAGCGAGGATATCATTTGCATATTTCTTGTGTGTTATGCCGGGAGGTAGTCATTTATATCTAGTACATAGATTAAAAAGAGGCATGGGCCAAGGACGCTTCCTTGTATTAATCCTGATAAAACATCTTTCCATTCAGTAGGCTTGCTGTTGAATATAACATGTTGTTTACCGTTTGAAAGCCACTTTGCAATCCAGGATGATAACCATGATGGAAGGTTGATTTCAAGTTTGTGCATAAGGATAATGTGATCAACAAGGTCGAATGTTTTTGAAAAATCAAAGAATATAGCAGTTAATGAGGTATTGCGATCAATAGCGTATCCCCAGTCATCAATTACTTGTAAGATGGCATCAATTGTATTTCTACAAGGAAGAAAACCAAATTACAAAGGATGCGTTTAAACTATTTTACATGTTGCAGATGTTATAGAGATTGGTCGGTAATCAGATGGTAGAGAAGGATTATTGAGTTTTGGCATTGGTATGATGTTTGCATAAAGCCATTCAGATGGTGGTACAATTCATTTGTTGATAAAATGGTTAAAAATTATAACAAGAGCTTCGACTAGTTAAAGATGTACTGCATAAAGTAGTTTGCCAGATATGCTGTCATGACGGGCTGGTGTTAATTTGATGCGCTTGATTTGTTCACTGACCTTAGAGATGGTAAAAATAGGCAATTCTGGTGGAGAGACGAATGTATTGAAATAAGGTGATAAATCTGGCTTAATAATTCCTGACCAAACTATATCTGAAAATTGCACATTTAGTTTTGCACCAAATTCAGTATCTGTCGGTAAACTGCAAACTGGGATTGATAGCCTGCGGGCATGAGACCACATATTATTCTTACTATTAGCATATTTATATTCATTTCTGTAGTAGGATGCTTTCTGGATAGCAATAAGTCGAGCAATAATATCAGCCAGAGTGTTACGCTGGTCATAAAGACCAGCTTAGTGTAAATATTGGCGCTGTTTTATGAAGCAAAGAATTCCTGCAGCCATCCACTCTTGGTCACCGCATACTTTAATTGTACGAGGCTGATGTTTATTTTGAGCATCAATTATAGCATTCTGGAAGGCTCAGAATGTTACAAGTGGGTCAGAGTCAAGGTTTGCTAGGAAATTATGCATGTCAAGTAGTCATATGGCAGCAACTGTATCTCTAATCTTTCCCAATCATATTTAGATGCACTTAGGTTTTGGTCAAATGTTTTTTTTTTTTAATTTATACCTTAATTAGTACTTGCTGACCAGACATGTAAAAATATAAGTCTTTGTAAGTCACACTGACCTTTTTTATACTTTTTCTTTAAATATATATCCTAGCTCTTCAGACTAGTAAAGTACAGGCCCTAAACTTTAGTTGAGAATAATTAAAAAAAAATTCTTTTCATAATTCTCAACTAAATTTATATTCATCAATAAATATTAAAACTCATAAAAAAATATCTTGGAATTCAAAAATTTGAGGGGGTTCAAACTTTATATGGTCATATTTTTTAACGCTAAGAGATTATTGTATGAATTCGACTAATTTATTCAAGTAGTTTTGTTAACAATCCTAAAGAATTGAAGAACTTTTTTTATACTTTTTCTTTAAATATATATCCTAGCTCTTCAGACTAGTAAAGTACAGGCCCTAAAATTTAGTTGAGAAATTTGAGGGGGTTCAAACTTTATATGGTCATATTTTTTAACGCTAAGAGATTATTGTATGAATTCAACTAATTTATTCAAGTAGTTTTGTTAACAATCCTAAAGAATTGAAGAACCTTTTTTATACTTTTTCTTTAAATATATATCCTAGCTCTTCAGACTAGTAAAGTACAGGCCCTAAACTTTAGTTGAGAATAATTAAAAAAAAAATTCTTTTCATAATTCTCAACTAAATTTATATTCATCAATAAATATTAAAACTCATAAAAAAATATCTTGGAATTCAAAAATTTGAGGGGGTTCAAACTTTATATGGTCATATTTTTTAACGCTAAGAGATTATTGTATGAATTCGACTAATTTATTCAAGTAGTTTTGTTAACAATCCTAAAGAATTGAAGAACTTTTTTTATACTTTTTCTTTAAATATATATCCTAGCTCTTCAGACTAGTAAAGTACAGGCCCTAAAATTTAGTTGAGAAATTTGAGGGGGTTCAAACTTTATATGGTCATATTTTTTAACGCTAAGAGATTATTGTATGAATTCAACTAATTTATTCAAGTAGTTTTGTTAACAATCCTAAAGAATTGAAGAACCTTTTTTATACTTTTTCTTTAAATATATATCCTAGCTCTTCAGACTAGTAAAGTACAGGCCCTAAACTTTAGTTGAGAATAATTAAAAAAAAATTCTTTTCATAATTCTCAACTAAATTTATATTCATCAATAAATATTAAAACTCATAAAAAAATCTCTTGGAATTCAAAAATTTGAGGGGGTTCAAACTTTATATGGTCATATTTTTTAACGCTAAGAGATTATTGTATGAATTCGACTAATTTATTCAAGTAGTTTTGTTAACAATCCTAAAGAATTGAAGATAGGCCCTGATGAAATACAAGTTTTATTCAATGTGGTTAATTTAATAAAGACAATGAAAAAAATGCAACTATGCAATTTTGGTAACTAATGCTTTGATTTTTACACCATACACCCTAATTTATTACACCATACACCCTAATACACTAAGTAAAGAATAATGTGGTAGTGGTAGAGCGCTCGCTTCATAAGTGAGAAGTTCCGAGTTTGATCCCAACCACATCCCTGGTAGTATCACACTCAACTTGTTTCTAAGCACAGCGGCCTTGTTTGTCAAGGTTCATGTTTTAGAGTTATAGAGTCGAGAGAGGGTTCTAACTAGAATTAAAGTAGCCTCCTTGATTGTAGTGGCCTTCTCGGCCTTGGGGAGGTGAATTAAAGAAAAAAAATAAGAAAACAAAAGTTTTTTTTTTTTTTAATGTATGCCTAATAAATTAGAAAGTATTAATTGTATAAAGATTTAAATATATAAAAATATAATAATAAGTTATACATAATAACTTGTAAAATAAAATGTAGTTAAGTAATTTTCAAAAAAAAAAAAGAACATTTAAATTAATATACCATAAAAAATACAAACTTATTTCTGCATATTTTAATAACTAAATTTGTCTATATTTATTAACAAATTTTTTTTTAATAAACTTTGATAGGAATTTAAAAAAAAATATTGTGTAATAATTAAACCTGATGGAGACTGTGCTGGACGAGAAAGCATTTCAGCATTAACTAGAGTCTGTGGATTTAAAGTAAGATCATGTTCCTCAGGAGGTTTGGATCTAGATATTTTGTCTCTTTCATTTTGAACAGCTAGAAATTAACACACAATAAATACAAAGATAAATATATACAAAACATTTTAAAACAAAATTTAAATTCTTTTAATTTACAATTTCATAAAATAATAAATATCAAAATAAAAATAAATTAAAGAGTTTGTTGCTTGTTCAAACAACACATTTAAGACAGTCATTAAAAAAAAGCATTCAGATAACAAGCAGTCAATTTTCAGAACAAAAATTCAGACAAAAAAATATTTTCAGTTCAACCAACATGTAACCCAATTAATGAAGTTTGTAGATCATTATATTCATTTAAAGAATTATTAAAAGGAGAATACCCAATATATATGAGTCTTAAGTGTTTAAATATATTGTGGTTATTATGTCTTAGATATATCAGGGTATTATCCAGTAATACTCAATATATATATATATATATATATATATATATATATATATATATATATATATATATATATATATATATATATATATATATATATATATATATATATATATATATATATATATATATATATATATACACTCAATATACACGAGAATACTCAATATATACAAGTCTTGAATGTTTAGATATATCAGGGTAATAAATCACGGTATTATCCAGTAATAAATTATATTACCCTTTTCGCAATATTTAGAACTTTATCTTTATTTTCAAAATTGTTTATTTTATAATTAATATTATAACAACAATAACAACAACAACAACAACAACTAATAATTTTCTAATTCTGATCTTTCCTGACTGGATGAACTAATATTCAATGTTTAAGGTTGTCCATGCGCCCCCTATTTCCAGCCCTAGTCATACATCTATTTACCAATTCAAAAAAGTCACATATAAAAGCGACAAAATTCAATTAGATCTAAAGTATAAACTCATACATTCAAAGTTTAATTGCAAACAATTCATCCACCTCTAATTCTCCACAAAAATATGATATAATTATAAATTTCTAGACAAATTGTTTGTAACTAAACTTTGAATGAATGAGTTATATACTTTGATTTAATTTAATTGCCAAAGTTGTTTTAAAATAAAATTTTGAAAAATGATAGCTCACAGCATACTTGTAACATAACAAACATAGAAATAACTTTTTATAGTGTAAATATAACAAAGATATATTGTAATGCAATTAATAAACATTTATATTTAAAATATAAAAAAGAAAATAGTTCAACAAGATATTAAAAATAAATAAAAGTAAGAACTTTAAAATTAAGAACAATAAAGTAATATATATTATTGTATTATTATATAATAAACTAGCCATCCAAACCCGCAAAATACGGGTCTTAGTAAATCTATTCCACACAAACCTTTTCTATACTTATTCCTTACTTCAATATTTTTTAGTTGGCGACAGAAAAATAACTATATACAAAAACTATACTTATTGTTTACTTTTTAAAGCTTTGAAAAAAAAAAAGTTTAATTAACTTAAAAAAACTTTAAATGCTTCAGTAGCCATTGCGCGAATTCTATTTATCAACTAATTAGATATTAGTAGCTGTCTAAATAGTATTTAGAACACCCACTTGAAATGTCTTAAATAATTAACATCAGTTAAAAAAACATGAGATGACTTAAATATGTGGAATAGCGGACTTACCATCATCCATATACTGGTCATTATAAGTCCATTCCACTCCAACCATTTTAATAATTTCCCTTTATTTCAATAAGTTTTAAAAAAGAACATAATATAAAAAACTTTGTTTTGAGTTAACGATTTATGTTTAATACTTTATAACTTCTACAAAAATAAGAAACAAAAAAAATAAGTGGGAAGGGGCTTGATTTTTTTTTTTCTTTAATAAGTTTATATTAATTTTTTCCAGACCATCCGCAACTTATTAGGTTTCTTGCCCTGTTAACTTTGAAGAAAGTTAAAGTTGGCATATAAAATCTTTATTCAATAATAAAGAAAGTTATCTCTTTAATGCATGTTAAACCCGCAAGCTAATTACTAAAGCACATAAGTTGTTTATCATAAACAATAATAAACCAATTTTAAGCACATAAACTTTATGTGCTTATAATTAATTTATCTTTATCATGACATATGTGCAAAAAATTTCCAATGGTGTTTTCATGTTTTTAGAAACTATAAAAGCGTTTTAAAAAATTCTCTCCCTCTTGTTTTTTATAGTATGTAATATTTTTATATATGTTGATCATATAATATCCATAGTATTTTTAAAATGTTTTATTTTTTATTCTAGAAAATTCTATAAAAAACTAAAAAAAAATTAAGTTTATAAGCAAAAGGATTTTAAGCCACACAAAGCACTTCAACCACTTTAGCATGCTTTATCATCTTTTAAAACTGTTTATAAACCAATGACTTATTAAACTTTATAAAACATTTATAGCATATATATGCTATAAAACAAAATTAAGGAGATATTGACGAAATGATATTTTCAAGTAAAAGTAAATCTGTAAAGTTTGATATAATTTACATTACTTGAAGTTTACAGGTTATTTGCACAGGCTTTCGATTAAAAAATTAAAAAATACATACTATTTACAAATAAAAGTAATAATTATTTAATTATGATAATAACATAATTATTTAAAAATAACATAATTATTTAAATAATAACATAATTATTTAAAAGTATATTCAATAATTATTTAATTTATGATAATGATAATAGAAGATTCAAAGATATTTCAGAAATTTATAAAAGTAAAATAAGAAATACAAAACATAACGATGTGTACATCTGTGTATCATTTCTACAGTGTGTACATTTATACATCATATCTACAATGCCTTGTGCCTTATCTTTAAGTCCTTCCAATATTATACAGAATATAATACGATTTTGATAGTTATCTAAATTCTGTCATTGTTGCGCACTCCTTTTAAAATGATTAACGGAGGTGTGGTAAAATAGCTGTAAAACTTTAAATTTCCTTATTACCTTAACATTATGTATTTTAAATTTTTTATTACTTTTAAAAATTATAATTTTATTAAAAGGGTTTATAATATAAAGTTAGAATTTTGAATTATGTTCTGATTAAAAGCATATTTTTTAAACCCTCTTATTGTTTAAAAAAGTGTTTTTTGTTGTGGTTGCCAAGTGGTTGCCACGTGGCAAGTTTAAATCATCAGATTTTTTTTTTAATATTTGTCATTTAAAATGCAAAGCAAAACAACTTTCTTTCTTTCAAAACAAACTTTTTTCTTCAAAAGAGTTTTGCTTTGTATTTTAGAAAAATTGAAAAAGATTAAATTAAGAAAAAAAAAAAGCAGATGGTAGGAATCAAAGCTAGATTTCATGCCTCAGAGTGTAGCGCGCTAACCACTTGGCTATGCAGACTTATTATTGTAAATTTAAAAAGTATATAATATATTAAAGACTTTATCAAACGGAAGTAAGTGCTACAGATCAAATGTTGCCGCAATGCATTTTTCAAGTGAAAGTAAAACTGAAAAACTTGATGTGTTTTAGTATGTTTTTAACATTACATAATTTGAAGAAAGTTAGATATTTGTATAAGTTATCTATTAGCATACACTTTGTATAAGTTATTTTTTAGCATACATTCTCGTTGACTTTTCTTATATAAAAAAGTGCTGCTATTCTTTTTCGCTATTACCTTGGTTACAATGGCTGCCAAGAGTATTGTATCAAACACTCTCCAATGAGCATTGACATGTTAGCTAATATATAATATAATATATATATATATATGTACATATATATATATATATAAATATATATATATATATATATATATATATATATATATATAATGGCTGCCAAGAGTATCGTGTCAAGCACTCTCCAATGAGGATTGACATGTTCCCTATTATATTATAATATGATAACAATAAAATAATAAATACTATAAATTAATTGTGCTAAAAAATCTAAAAAATTCAAGTTTCAAGAACAAATGATCTTGCTTAGCTAAAAAACTTGATTCAATGATTACTCGAGTTTCCAATTACCAGATAAATTAGAAATCACAATGTTGTCCTTTATATCCGAAAAAGAATACAAGCATCCTTCCTTTATTGTGATTTAAATGGCACATCAAGTATGGTGTATAATTTAAGAATTAAGAAAGTAATCTGAATAATTAAGATTGATTATTAATTGTATAATTAAGAGATCTGCAAATATAGAACTCAACAAAATAATCAATTACTGCTAAATTTACCTTACAAACATATCTGAGCAGAACATCTGCTCAGATATAAAAGATTAATAAATCCAAGTAAAATTCAATCAATCAAAATCAATCTAAGTCCAAATAAAGCGATTTTGGAAAATTAAGTTGAACACAAAGTAATTGGCCCAGATGGCAGATTTATATGTTCTAAATGAGAGTGTCACTGAATTTAGAAGACCAATTTTCTTTCTGATAGTAAGACAATAATCATTCCAAGTATTTGTTATAATACCAAATACTTAAAAAGAAGCAAACATGATATAGAAAGAAAAAGATAAACACTATAACCTATCTATAGTCAGTCTAATCATAACATGCAGCAATCAAGTGCAGCACTATCACTCAAGAAAATAATCATCACTTAAGATAAAATTAAGTTGACTAACCTTACTTAATATCTTATCAGTAAAAGATTGAAGTTGTAGATGCAGTTCAATATTTTAAGAAAAGAAAAGGTTCTATTAATACTATGGGTATACACCAGGGATGAGAGTCCCAAAACCAGGGATGAGAGTCCCAAAACCAGGGATGAGAGTCGCAAAAGGGCTCCGGCTTTAAATCTCTATTTTTTCTTGGTTTTTGGTGTTCAGGAGTTCTAAAAGTGTTGATTGACTTATGATCTTAAATAAGAAAAAAATTCATGAAATATTATGATTTGGAACCTATTCTTTTTTATCCCGGAGTCCTCACTGCGATTATACCTAAAGACTCTGGGCTCAAAATTTAATTGGTCCTCTAACCTAAAATCTTAATTTTTCCCCAAAACAGACCATAAGATTCTTTATATTTTTGGAGCTTCTGGATAC